CTTTTAACCTCCCAGGACTGAGAGACATGCTGATGGGCTCTTCCACAGTGAGCTCAGCAAGATGAATGGCAATGCCTACGTGCGGCAGCTGGTCAAACACCTGGTGGGCCTCAAGGAGAGGTAAGGACCAGCCAAAACCACCCTCCTGGGGCATGGAAGTCTCCAGCAGGAGGTGGGATCCCAGCAATGAGGGGGATGCCCTCACTGGGGTTGAGCTGTGTCCAGCATCAGAGCCAGCCTGAGCACTGGCCTCATCCAGAAGATGCCCAAGATGAAAGGAGACAGAAGAGAAGGGGAGGGATACAAGGCTCCGTGATGGTGGGAACAGAGACATTTCTGTGTCTTGTGGTAAGTCCCACATCACGTGGCTGGGAGCAGCAGCTGTACCGTGTGTTCCCTGACGCAGGTCCCAGCGGCACTCAGATGGGCTGTTTACCAGTGAATACAGCAAGATGAGAGGAAACGCTCAGGTTCAGAAGTTCATTCAAAATCTCATGGGCCGCAAGCGCAGGTAAGAGCTCTGCTTCCTGGGGACGGGAAGGCAGCCTGGGCCGTGCGGGCTGCAGGGGGGCAGGTCTCAGCTCCAAGGAAAAGGGGGTGGCATGGCCAGTGGTTTGGGAAACTTCAGGCAAGGGCAAGCAGGCTGAGGTTGGTCTCCCTCTGGGCTGTGTCTGGAGCTGCTGTGCAATAGCAGAGATATCCCATCAGCCTGCCCTGCCTGTCACGGCAGAGCAGGACACAAACCTTCTCACTGAGGCCATTTCAAAGCATAAAACAGTGTTATCTATGTGTATGTCATCTGTATCTATCTATCTATATCATCCACAGGACACAAAACTTTACCTCAGATCACAGCCTGACATTTTTTGTTTGTATTTTGATTTAGCCTTTTGGGGAAAGTTGTGGGTGATTTATCTACTTCAGCTAAAGCTCCTGAGAAAATGTTTGTAGATAAATGGGCTCCATAGCAGAATGAGGAAGACCTCTGGGTTTCATGGTCCCCACCGATGGCTCTGACTGCCAAACTGGGCAACCTTTAGACATAATCATATATATGGCCAATACGGGGTCTTTCATCCAGCCAAAACACCACCAGCTCCCACCGAAGCTGTGTGTGTGAGCACATCATCAGGTATAATGTGTGTCCTGCTGTGATACAGCTCACAGCTGCTGCTGCCCTTGCTGATGGTATGTCATGAAGGGAGAGATTTGCCTGGAGATGTTCCCTTCAAGCTTGGTCCTTTCTTCAAGGCAGAGACACAGCACATTGATTCCTTCCCATCTGTTCAGAGTGCCTTGATGTTTTCTGGGGCATGCACCACTAACAAAATCCTGGCAGATGCAGTAATTTTTAATTTCCAAATGCTGGAAAAAACATATATATCCCTGGGATATATATGTTTCTTTATCTAAACCAGTTCTCCAGGCCCAGTCAATGCAGACACGCAGGGGAGAGAGGAAGAAAACAGCCATGAGGAACTTTGCTTTGTGTGGTTGTACCAGAGCTTTCTAAACACCAGGTAGGTGGGACAGATTTGTCACCTCTATGGCCCCGATCACCACAATATTGAAGCCGAAAGGGGACTTTCAGCAACTTGTAAATACCCAGTTTTTGCCTCAAGTGCAGAAGTCTGGTGTGATGCATCAGATCAGAAGGGCTCAGCTGATATCCTCAAAATTATCCTCAAAAAGGGGAAGGGTGGAAGATATGACATTGATTGTATTTTACAATCACCTTTGCTTCATTCCCCATCAGCCTGTGGGGCACTGGCTTGGGGACTGTCCCTGCTGAATTGCAGCCCTCCATCACACAGTTTTGTACCTCCTGTCACTCTGCCAGCAACCTCACTCCCAGGGGTGCTTTGCAGAGCTAGAAAAGCAAATGCTTTAGCCTGACTGCAAGGTGGCAGGCGGCTGTGTGCGGTCTCAGTTGATTTCCATGCCTGCATTCACAGTAATCTCTATTTCTACATGCCCAGCCCACCGGGCATTGTTTTGCCTTACCTAGCGCAAAGCTGGCGTTGAGATTTACAGCTAAGAAGTGCCGTATAAAAGCAAGTTACTAAAAACAATAAAACCCAGGGAAATTAAATAATATCTTTTACTAATCATCCTGGACTGAAACCATTGTTCATCCCATTAGGAAACCTGATCTAATAGTTAAAATAGAAAACCTTTGCTACCCCATCTTGCTTCAGTTATTGATTTGAACACACACCTCAGGATGGGCTGCCCCAGCATCTGTACATTGTCTCTTCCTAGTGACTGACTACTTTCAATTAGACATCTCGCTGTTCCATCACTAAAATTAGGAGGAAGAAGCTGGCCCTTAGTACTTCTTGTCCATGTTGCCTAGAATAGATGGGGAAGATAACAACAACAGGCTTGCCTGTGCACTGGTGGGGTGCCTGCCTGCAGGCAGCCATGATCTGGGTCCCTCTATCATACATCTGCTCCTTGGAGTCATCTTTGAATTTTACAAGGTGACCTTGTCATACCTAATGCAGTCTGTGCCCCCAGGAATCACTAACTAATGCTCATTTCTTCTGTCCCAACAGCCGCTCGGACAGCGATGCCAGGGATGCTGCTGCAATTGCCAGCCAGTATGTTTGCCCCATCTCTAAGCAGCTGTTTGCAGACATGAAGGAAGATACAGAAGGTTTTGACTGAAGGTGGAGGGAAAGAAACAGACAAGGAGATGGCTCTGCATGTATATAGCCTTGAAAATAACCACGGAAGCTATTGAATTTGCTTAGAAAAAACTCTGGAAAGAAGCCAAAACCCAATAAAACCTCTCAGATTATCAGGAGTGAAATACATGTCAGTGTGAGCTGGTGTCAGTAGATGGAGCCTGCATGAAGCACAATCACTTCTACTTTGTGTTAGCATCTGGCTGCCTGCTTCTGAAGTCAAATAAAGATTTGCTAGCTACACCTTTGCTTCGGCTGCTCTTTGGGAAACAGTAGTAGGGGTGGTACCATTACTAGGTGTTGGGCCAGTAGGAATGCAGAGTTGGAGGGAAAAGTACTTTGCCAGGCGTCCCCCACACGAGGCATGTTGGGACTCGCTGGAGAACCTGGCCACGTCTTCCATGTCTGGGACTCAGCACTCTCACAATCCCACTGTACAAAGGGGGCAGCATCTGGGCCTCCATTTAGCAGAAACTTAGCCAGGTGCTAGATTTTATTGCAAAGAAATGTACTGAGAGCTATGCAACACAGATACACACTCTAAATACTGTTCCCACTCCATTCTGCCCCTGTATTTACTGGCCTGGCTTTCTCATAGCTGCTAAAGACAAAGCTGCACGAGAAGGAATTTGTTCCCACCACTGAATGAGCTTTACACATTATCCCTGCACCACGCTGCCTGCCAAATTCCCTTCTCTTACAGAACAGCATCTCCACCTTTCCTGTAAAACCAACAGATTTTGAAGAGCAGCTCTAAAATAAAGTATCTTTAGCTGCAGTGCTGCAGGCCTACTGCAGAACTGCTCAGTCCATCCTGCACCATCTGTTTTCACCATTTGTGATGAACCTGACATCTGCAAAGAAGCTAGTTCATCTCAAATGCTGATCTAAGCACCCATTAGATTATTGTGGTGCTGAAGTGCTGTTCTTCTGGGCCTTGGCATTTGTTTATTTTGGTCCATAGGAAATCTCTGCTAGGCAAGTAACCTCTTGGAGAACTTTTGGAAGGAGTGTTGACAGTCTGTATTTTCTTAAGCCACTAACGGCCACGTGGCTGAAGTGCAGCACCTGAAAGCACTCTGAAATCAACTGGGATTTTAAAAGGAGCAGTGAGAGCAGCTGTCTTCTCTCTTCTCCTACACAACGGGCAGGTTGAAAATAATGGTGTTTCTCTGCACAAGGGGCCAAATGCCTGATATTTGGCTTGGAAAAATTTACACAGGCTCAGGAAAAAACAGGATGAGACAGCAGAACAGCAAGCTGTTGAGGCTTCAGGAGGCTGCTGAGATGTAAGTAATTGGAGCCTGGATGGAGATGCTGGGGAGCGTCCCTAAAAAGAGCCGCTGCTGGCAGCTGGTAGAAGGGGACATACATTGTCCCTACAAAGTTTCTGGGTAATCACTGGGCTGCAGCTGAGCCCAGTCACTGTCTCTGCATCCACTCAGCTCACCTTGTGACGGTACCGTAGGGTGGCCAGGAATAACAAGATTGTCTTAGAAACATAACTGCTCATCTCAGCCCAAGAACTTACCCGGGGCCTAGCTCCTTCCTTTATCATCCAAACAAAGGAGCAGCCAAGATGGTTTTGTCTTCACTGAACATTTGCCTTTTCCAGAAATAAAGAGAAGGTATTTGAGAGCTGGGGTTTGGTTTTTTTTGTTTGTTTGTTTGGGTTTTTTTTAAATCTGTTTTTCAGGAACAACATGACATTGAAAGTAGGAGAGAGGAAACCATAAGTCATGGGCTGGAAAGCAAAACCTGTTATAAGAGGGCATGTGGGCCATGCAGAAAAAGCCTGGCTAAAATAAAGAAGATACAGGGGGTATAGTAGTATCGTTATGGAATGAGCATTTTTCCAGGAAATTATCTGACCAAAACAAATCCTATCTCCTGCATATCAGAAACATAAATTTCCCTACTTCCTTCCCACTGGGAGAAGCTGGAGTACACAGACAGTTCCCCAAGTGTCAGCCCTTGTCCTCCTTCATGCTCATCTCGGGGGACTTGGTTCTGAATTCTGAAATGCTTCAAATACATCCTTGTTGCTACAGAGAGTTTAGGATAAAGACCCAGGAACAAAGTAGAAACAGGAATTTATGCGTCACCGTGTTCCATGACTGGTAAATGTCTTTCAATAAGTCACCCAATAAGGCAGAGAGGCAAAGGTTGAACTGCAGCAATCCACTCCAGCCAGCCAATGCTTTTTGCCTTCCTGGGGCAGCGAATGCAGAAGACAACACTGGGAGAAACAGGGAGAGAAGAGGACCAGCTCAATTGGAAATGGGGATTTTTTTTCAACACTGGCAGCTCACAATGGCTGTTTCTCCCTGGCTCCTCACTTCTGTGCTCTTTCTGCTGCCCTTCACGACACGTGTTTCAGCACAGCAACAAGGTAAGCTCCTGCAGGAGATCCACGACCACAGAGGAATAACCCTCATGGCAGCAGGTCGCACCATTGTAGGTGGAAGGTTTTTACACTCCTACTCCAGGACAGCTTTGTTCAATGACTTTCTCCCCAGTGGTAACCAGAGGGGTCTCAGGTCTCACCCAGCTTTGTCACAGTGTGAGTCCCTGGGCAATTTTGTGTCTGATTTGTGTGTTTTTCCAGGATGTTCTGTCGATAATGACAAACCAAGTGTTTATGAAAATAACCTTCCTGGCTACGTGGTGACCACGATCCATACAGAACCAAACTTCACTGTAACGATTGATCCTGCTTCCCCTGATGTCAGTTTTTTCGCTATACAGGGGTCGGAGCTGCAGCTAACCCGAAGTGTGGACTATGAGGTAAGCCTTTAGTTGGCAGGCTGTAAGGATGAGATGATAATGTTGGGATGCAATGAGTTTCAACCCGAGGTCTTGGACTTCCAGGGATTTGTAACCCGTTTCCAAAGGATCTGGGAAATAACTTTGAAAAATAAAGCTACTTCAGTTGGGTTTGAGTTCACTGCTTGAGAGGTCAGCCCTGCCACAAGCAGAGTGTAGGGAGGAGGGGGATGCATGGTATGCCTGCTGTCACCTTCTTTCAATGAATCTGTATGAATTAAAGCAAGGGGAAGTGTTAAAACGAAAAATTGTGACAACTGTAGTGTTCAGAGCCCTCCAGGACACATGTAAAATGATTCCTATTTCCTGTAGCTCTGAGCAGTGAAATGATCTTGTATGAAGCATAGAAGCACTATAAAAAGTTAGTGTGTTCAGTTAGATTGCTGCTAAGTTATTTTATCTTCCTGGAGTGCTCTGTACACAGCCACAAACATCTTTAAGCTCCCTTTCCCCTAATGTAAAAACCTGCATTTACTTGAACAAAGAATAGAAGACAGAGTTAACACCCCGCAGGCGACACTGTGCAGTGTACATGGTACATTTCTGTTTCATTCAATTTTAAAAGAAATCTCTGTTTGAATTCACCTGAAGTGTGAGAAAATGGCCAGTTAGCTCAGCAGACATGTTACAGGAATCGCAGGGAGAGAAGCTGGAAGGCTGGTCTGCTTTGACTCCATCATAAACGCGATCCCAGCGCTGATGGATGGCTGTAAAGGCAAGAAAGGAAAAGTTAGCTATGTCTGAAAGCAAGATAAAGCCCAGCAGCATTTCTGATTCAGCAATGCATGTATCTGTCTCATTTATTTTATAAAGAGTTAGTACTTTTGTCTTGTTTCTACAATGTCTGGGTTCTTGTTTTTGTGTGCAGGAAGACACCGTGCTGCTGGTGTACCTGATTTGCCAGAACAGCGCTGAGCAGGTGAGTCCTCCTCCAAATACCCAGCCCTGTTACAAGGCACTGCAGGGCAGCAGCTACTTCCTTCTGCTCTTCCCAGTCCACAGAGCAGGGTGAGGAGATATCTTTGTCTTTGCAGACATACACATCCCTTTCACAGTCAGAGAGAGCACCCAAGGCTCTGTGAATGTGGAGCGGGTGGGAACAAACCCACAAACCCCACACCCTGTGGGCTGGCTGCAAACACCAGCCCCATCTCGCCCCCATGGAGCTGTGCTCCTTACACCATCCCTTCTGGTCACTGCAAATCAGGATCAGCCCCTGACAGTTCCCTTTTTTGTCTTTGTTTCTCTCACTTTACCCTTCCAGCAGGTAGATTCTTTGCAAATTGTTGTGACCATTCTCAATGTCAACGATAATGCTCCAGTGTTTAAGCAAACAAACCTCACAGAAGTTGTTCCTGAGGTAAGCATTTACAGAAGGGAAGAGGGCACTGGGTCACTCAGTGCCGTGGGACTAAGGAATGGTTAGCAAGGAGAAGTCTTCAGCAGAGAAAATAACCTCAGCAACTTTGTTTCAGGATACAAAGGTGAATGCAACCATTGTAGCCCGTGAGGATTTAAGTGCTAGTGATGCTGACCTGGACATCATCTTTTATGAACTCACAACAACAGTGCAGGTGAGCGGTTTTGTCCTTTGGGGGGAAAATGGCAGCTCTGGAGAAGTGTTTGTATTTCATTCAGAAGAGCCCCAGCTCTGAGGCTAAGGTCACTGTATTGCATTTAGTTCTCTGACAGCTTCTAGAAGAGGCAGGTCTTCTGCAAAAACCAAATGTTGGTTTAGTTAGCAGAGCAGAGCAACCAACGCTGCAGGTATTGAATTCTCTTATCGCTCACACTTTATTACACTGTACAGATTAAACTTTCATCTGAGCCATATGATGCAGGGAAGTCTTGTTGGGATCATCTGTAAACATATCAGGAGAGACCTTTGTACCTCACGGAGCTCAGAGTTGTGCTGAGTTGGGTAGGG